GGTGTCAGAGGCACAGATCCTACATGCAATGGAAAACTATCCGGGTGTTTTAAACAGAGGTCGGAGATGAGTTGATTTAAATTAGTAATCATCTGGCTACTACATGGATTTTAGGATAAAAGTAGAAATATACTCAAAATTAGCAAGTCCTCAGAAGATTTACTGTGTCTTGCATTGGAGAAGTTATGATGGGGAAACATGTGGGATGATTACATTAAAGATTATTTAGAAGATAAACACCTCTGTGCCTCTCTGTGTAGAGATTCTCCTTCCAGGGCTGAAGCTTTGAAAGTTCTGTGTTTCATTTTTATGAAAGACATTGTTCACTTTTATAAGCTCCTGTTAACTATATCATTTATAAACTTCTGAAGTAAGATAAAAGGAGATTGGTTTTGTTTCTGTGTCTAACATTCATGACACTAAGAAAAGACAAATGTACATCCCTCCTGTGATTTAATAGAGTTTTTTATCATTTCATTGTATTGATGTTTCTAACTGTAGGTCAGAAGCTAAAAATATTCTTTGAGTAGCATTTGGCTAGGATGATGCATGTGAACTATCCTTAATACGTAAAAATGCCTAACAAAATATTGCTGTCATGTGTCTGTCTGTACAAGAAATTGTAACAAAATTAATTTACAAAATTCAGTAAATATAGATAGCCTCTCTGAAGAACTAAGAATTCTTGTAAGAATGTCCTTATAGAAGAACCTTCTAGCAACTGACCCCGCTTTACACTTTCCTGTTTTTCTTTAACTCCCCTTTTGGACACTGTTCCCTCTTTCTCCAGTAATACAGTTACCCAATCCAACTGTAATGATGTGAAAGATCATCCCACCATCTGTACTTAGAAATGAACTCTGATGGCCCTACCTTCCCAGTAGATAGCTTCATGATAAAGAGCACAAAATTCAGTCTTTCTGAAAATTGGTTTCCTTATCTTTGAAATGAAGGGATTGGAGTAGATAATCCTAAACCTTTTCCAGCTCTGAGATTTGAAGATTGTCTCTCCTCTGATTTTCACATTGCCATTTCTGAGCTATTTCTAAGTCCATGTGTCCCTTCGAAGGTCCATTTCCAGAGAGCAAATTGCCTCCTGATCATCTCGACCTGGATTTTGCATGGGCTCCTCCAGTGCGGTGTCCAAAATGAATCACCAGCTTTCCCCAGGAACTTGTTTCTTTCTTCATATACTTCTCTTGTATTGTGTGAATGCCTCTCTTTCACTGAATCTTCTACTCTATGATTTTTTCCAATAACCAACCATCCCCTTATCTTTCCTAGGCTCAGTGTAAGAAATCACATCATTATGTGAATTTTTGTCCTGGCTGCTTCTTTGGGTCAGTTTTACTACTGCTTTTGAGGCTATCCTGATCAGATTAGCAGAAGAGAATGACGGGTGAAAGCGAGCATTCTGTATTCATTTAAGAATTTCTAATGCCACTGAGTATTATTGTATTGGTGTCCTAGTGGAAGAAACTTACTACAATCCTATAGGCAAAGGGCTCAAATCTACCAGTTGTACCATGGGAAAAAGATGGGAAAGCTCCTTAGCTGCCTCTGAAAACCCTCTGGAGGGTTGGATATAGGTCGGTTCTGATTTAATGGCAAACAGCAACAATGCCAATATCCAGCTTGACTAATAGCCTACCAATAGTCTCTCCTAAACATGAAGAAGCCATCAACTACCTCACTATTTATTCAGTCTTAGCTGGTTACAGGCTTTAAGACTCATAAATTCCTATTTTCACTTTGTAATACACATCCTTCTGCTGTGGAAATTCTTGTCTTCTTCATTCAGATATATTGTCTTACAGAGTGCAGTTAACATGCTTTCTGGTCTTACCTCCCTTTCCCTGAGATTGAGTTTAAAATAATGAAGGCTAGTTAGTGTTTAATGAGTTAATGAGTCTAGATAGTGGCGTAAAGTCTAGTTAATCTCTTTAATTACTTTCAATGCATCTGAAAATTGGACAGTGACTAAGTATGAGAAAAGAAGAATTGATACCTCTGAGTTGTGGTGCTGGAGCACAGCGCTGAATATCCCATGAAATCCAAAAGAACAAACAAGTCTGTCTTGGACAAAGTGTAACGTGGCTACTCCTTAGAGGCAAGAATAGAGAAACTTTGTCTCCCATACTTTGAGGACGTTTTCAGGAGGGACCAGTCCTTGGAAAAGTACTTCATACTGTGAACAATAGAGGTTCAGATAAAGAGAAGAAGATCCTTAATGAGATGGATTGATACAGTGATTGCACCAATAGAATCAAGCCTATTCCAGATCATAGAAGGGTAGGCGCGGGATATGGTGAGGTTCAGATCCATTGTTCACAGAGTCCTTATAAGTCATAGTCCACTAACAATGACAACAGTTAGTAAGTAATAAATTCTATTCCTTCTTTTATTTTTTTCCTTCTTTTAACTTCACATTTGACTTTAATCTCCCTTTCTTTAATTAATATTTTGGCAAACATTTATGGGTAAACCAGTTTCATCACAAGCAGTTAACAAGTGTACATTCAGCTCTTCCAATGCTAATTCAGACCCGATACTTAGTTCTCATTTGAGAGATATGTTGTTGTTGTTGTTGTTATGTGCCAGCAAGTCGCTTGTGACTCATAGCGACCCTATGTACAACAGCTCTAAACTCTGCTCTGTCCTGTACCAATCTCATTGCCTGCAAAACACTCATCTTGATTACCCCAGTCACCGAATCAATCCATCTCCCAGAGGGCCTACCCCTCCTGCGCCTGCCCTCCACCCTCCCAAGCATGATGTCCCTCTCCAAGGACCGGTCTCTCCTTACAACATGACCAAAGTATGTCAAAGCCTCAGAATTCTTGCCTCCAAGGAACAGCCCGGTTTAACCCTCTCCAGGATGAATCTGTTTGTTTTCCTAGCAGTCCATGGTACCCTCAATGCTCTTCTCCAACACCAAAGCTCAAAAGCATCAATTCTCCTTCTATCCTCCTTGGTCATTATCCAGCTCTCTGATGCATAACAAGTGATTGCAAAGACCATGGCCTGTACCAGACGCACCTTTGTCTCCAGAGACACACTGTTGCTCTTGAGTACTTTGCGAAACTTATACTTGAATCAAGAGGCAGTTGTCAGAACAGAGCAAGGAAACACTGCATGGTTCAAAATTGGGAAGGGCGTATGCCAGGGATGTGTCCTGTCTCCATACCTTTTCAATCTGTATGCAGAACAGATCATCTGGGAGGCTAGACTCTATGAGGAGAAATATGGCATCAGGATTGGTGGAAGATCCATAAACAATCTGCGTTATGTAGATGACACAACCCTGCTTGCTGAAACTGAAGAGGACCTGAAGCGCCTAGTGTCAGGGACTGCAGCCTTCAATATGGATTGAGGCTCAATGTCAAGAAGACAAAGATTCTCACCACTGGATCAATTGGCAGCATCAGGATGGATGGTGAAGAGATTGAGATTGTACACAGCTTTAGTTTGCTTGGCTCCACAGTCAACACCCTTGGCACCAGTAACAAGGAAATTAAAAGACGTATTGCAATGGGAAAGTCTGCTGTTAGAGACCTCTCTAAAGAAAGCTATCAGACTTGTGTAGCTGAATTTTTTTCATCTTCATCCTAAAATAGTTCCTCTTTGACCAGACTGGAAGAATTGCACCAACGTGTTTTATTTTAGTGGCTCAAGAAACCATCTTTAATGTGTCAAAAGCATAGAATCAGCTTTCCAGCCTGGAGGGTATTTTTAACTTACTGGGGTATCACCATCGAGTTACACTGCTAACCAAAAGTGGCACCTTTGTAGCAGTTCTAACCTATCAGTGACTCCAGAGGAGAAACACTGACACTTGCTTGTGATTTGCAGTCTCCAGAAACTCCCTGGAGGGTCAGCTATGTGTCATTTCAAACTCATCAGCAGTGTGCTTGTGAAAGACAGAGAGAGACAGTGCACTAGAGTAATTAACATGGACTTCACACACGAATGAATTGGAGAGAAATAGGGCCACTAAAAGAAGTTTCTCTCCCTGGGATCCATTGCTATCACAGGTCTTTTAAGTAATCTTTGAGATAAAGTTCCCAGTTCTATCTCCTGCTTCCTCCCCACCAGTGCATAGTTCTTTAACATTCCGATGGTCATTTTCTCACCTTGCCATTCTTCCTGACATGTCTTAATGCAGTCAGAAATAAATCTTTGTCAGTTCATTTATTCCTGGAAAGATCACTGGGATATGGACGTGATACAGAATCACAATAATCATCCCAAACATCAGTGATGAGGCTCAAATGCACATCAGTAATGATAATTATTATTACGTTGGGAACACTTAGAGTGTTAATCGGAAATGCATAAATAAATCTCAGTTTTCTTTCAATGTGCAGCCTTTGAAACCTGCTGGGGGGTCAGCTATAAGTCAGTTCTGACTCCACACAAATGAGTTTGAATTTGACTTTTCTTTAGAACAACAAAAAAACCAACTCAACTCATTGCTTTGTAGTTGAACCAACTCATGCCTAACTCTCCGGAGTATTTTCTGAGACTGCAAATTTCGTGGGAAGAAATTACCCATCTTTATCCCTTACAGCCAGTTGTGGATCCAAACAGCCAGAGAGGCACCACCTTTGCATTAGCAATGCAACACCCTATGAACTCTGCAGAAGAACTCTGTAATTTAAGCGTTCCATACTACCTCCTCAGACAAGAACGTGAAGGCTAAGATGGGTTAAGTGGATTCCCTGAACTTAAAGAGTGGATCACAGCCTGAGTTACAATTTAAACCCTAACCTATTTTCTGTCTCACCAGTACTTCTAAGAATGTCGCGATGTGTGTCTTGAATGAAAAGAGTTTTTAAGGAGAGGAGCATGAGGCAAATGGTGACCTGTTCAGTAGGAAGGCAGCCCCTAGCCCTGTGCTCATTAGGAAGGCAGTTCAGATAGCAGAGAAGATGAAGCCTTTGACATAATGAATTGAACTGGGGTTTCATAACTCACATGGATCTTTGTTTGCCTTCTAGAACGATTTTCAATCTGCCTCAGCCTCAGATACCAACTGGGAGTCAATCACAAGCTCTGTTTCAGTAAGTAACTTATTACTCTGTTGCCTGTGGGGTGGGGTGGGATAAGGGTGGGGAATAATGAAATAGTTAAAGCTTCCTGTTGGACTTCAGCAACATTAAGGACCAATAAATTGACCAAAAGCCAAATTTCAAGTAAGAGGTTTTCTTCCATTTCACTCGGGTTATAGAAAGAGGGTAATGCCAGAATGCCCTTTTTCCCTTCCTTTCACAAAGCTTTCCAGGAAATGCCAACAATCACTGTGAGAACATAGGTTTAGCCAGTGTTTTAAGTAATTGTTTATTTCAAAGTGCAACTTTCTGACTGAAGGACTCTCCAGACACATCAAACATGTCAACCCGATCCGGGGCCCAGACTCAAGTGGGATATTTTGAAATCACTTTTGAGACTGTTAACCTTTGCATTTTCAAGAGCTTTTTCATACTTGAAAAATCCTAATGTTTCCAGTTAGATAACATACATGCATATCAAGCATGTATTCTATTTAAATCGGAAATAAAACATAACACCCCAATGCTGTAAAATGGTTCATGCCCCCATTTTTCTTTCCAAGTTTAGTCATTTCTCAGTATTCTGTCTCCTTATCTACTTTGCCCAGAAAGACAGACAGTATTTTTCTACATGGAGCACTTATGTTGCAATAAAATAAAGATAATAAAGGCATTTGTTCATGAAAAGGTCAAGAGCTTGGAGAAACTCTGTCTGCAGTTCAAAAGTGAGTCTGTGTGGCTAAGTCAGCTTTGATTTTTTTGCCCCCTAAAATTTTTTATGCTATATTTGACTTTCGAGAAGAATTTTGAAAAGTCCCTTTCTATGGCAGGATTTCCTCAATGATAGCATCTGTGATGAGTTCATTTGTCTGCTCTGGCTGCCAGACCAAAAGGGCATCAGCTGAACAATTGGTTGGTGAGGGCTCTTCCGGTGATAGTAAACCAAAACAGAAAAGCAAGCCCACTCCCATCCAGTTGATTTTTGAGTCATGTCAACATTATGTGAGTACATGATATTAACAGCATTTTATTTATTGCCTTTTGACAAGTCAGAGAACATGTTGTGTGACCTTAGCTAAGGAAATTATGTTCCCAACTGATGCCGCGTCAGTCCATGACTCATGGTAACAATTGAAAAAAACCACGATTTGGTCCTTCACCATCTGCACCACTGTGACAAAGGGAGTTTACATTACCTGATTAAAAAAAAAAAATAGATCACCCAGCTTTCTTCCTAGTCTGTTTTATTCAGTTAGTTCCACTGAAATCCGGTTAGTATCAGCACCATGCAAGCCCCACTCATGGGTGGGGTCTATGAAATAACTGGTGGAAATTAAACCTAATTTTCCCAGATGGGGAATGAGGGTCCTACCATGGAACCAATGTCTCCATCATCAGACTGGGGAAAATTAAAATAAAGCAGATGATATTCAGAGCTGCAGAGGACTGGCAGTTGGCCTGGGTACTTAGGCAGCCCCAGCAGTCTGAGCCTGATATTGTAGCATTGATTCCAATCACAACTTTTAGGACCAGGACTTGGATGTTGGCTGAAGGGTTTCCCTCTTCTCAAACATACATGATAGCTCAGGATGTCTAATCATTCCTGCCCCAATGGTAGAGATTATTAGCCATCAAAGACCCATAGCGAATTGCCTAGTCTGGTTTTTCTGATGGCTTAGTGAATAGTGTATTAATCTGATAGACAGTCTCCCACTAGAAGGGAACCGCTAGGAAGGCTCCAGTAGTTGGAACTGACTTGGCAGCATTCAGTTTGCATTTTTGGTTTGGTTGCTCTAAAAGGGATGGATTATCTCCTCCACTGGGGAGCCAGGGGTCCCTACAGATCTTCCAGAGCTGAGTTACAAGTCAGAGCACCACTTAGGCCTCTGGAAAGACCAAGGAGGGATTGCTTATTCCTTGAATTCTGTTTTTCAAGAACCTTCTTGGGAATGAGCGGGAACCCCCAGACCAACTATTATTTCCTATAAAACCTTCCAACTATTAATTCCTATAAAACCCCTACATTTTGCTTTCACTAAATGCAGTTTAGAGTTTTCTATGCATTATTATTATTTTAAAATACTTAGTTACATTTAAATTTTCTTTATAAACATCTAATCAAAACTGAATCAATGAGGTAAAAATTAGAGTAGTTGTAAGAGGCACACCCACTTAGTTCTGTCTATCAAAAACAATTTTAAAATAGTTACCTCACAAATAAACAAGCAAAAATAAATAAAAAATGTTCTCCTGAGTGTGTTATTCATAACTATTTTTTTAACTGTCTTTGTTGCTTCTTGTCAACTGTGCTAAGTCCATGCTTAAAACACTAGTAAGCTCATCCTTGTACAGAAATCTCATTTTTTGCCAATTGGTTTGAATTTTATTTAAAACCTATTATTAGAGGAGATCAGATTTCTCCTTCCCCTCGGGGTGTGGTGGAGACCTACTGGCACGGTGCATGCTGCATTTACCTTCTAACTGAAAGGTCAGAAGTTCAAATTCACAAGGCAATCCTCTAGAGAAGGGAGGCTTGTCTCCTCCCATAAAGATTTCTCATTGCTCATTGCCCTTGAGTCGAAATCAACTCACAGCTGACCCTTCAGTAGATTTTGGGGAGACTGTAAGTGCATGGAAGGAGATGGTCCAGCTCTCTCCCTCAGAGCTGCTCCAGAGGCCCCGGAGGTGCCACTTTCGGCTCGGCAGCACAGCTCCTCAGGGTCTGCACCATCAGAACTCCCTTCGTAAAGGTTTACAGTCCGAGGAATCTGATGGAGGGTGACTTTTGAGTCAAAACTGACTTGATAAAGTTCTCTCAGGAGGCGAGAAGCCCTCCATTCCATTTTCTTAGAGATAGAAATAGGTACACACTTTTAGGAGCCATCTCCCTTAAAAAAGAGATTAAAAAAATAAACCCCAAAATGCCCTGCTTTTATTCTTAAAATGGAAAAATAAAAGCAGCAACAAACTTCTTTCATATGTTGCTCTGTGCTTAACTTTGACCGGCTCATCTGGGGTGTTTTGAATCTTAGACTCTGACTGCTGTGACCGAAAGCTATTTATTAATCATCAGATAGTCTGATTTGGACCACTTTCATTCTATTATAGTTACCATGAGTCAGAGCCGGCTGGATGACACCTAACAACAGTAACAATGGGCTGTAGTCTACCCAGACAGTACAAGGTGAATGGAGATTTGAGAAGCTTATCTTTAATTCTCAGTATTGTCTACCTCTAAGTGTGTGATACCAGGAGAGATAAGAAAGAAGTGAGGTGCTTCAGCCCCCAGTTCAAGTACATCACCTGCCTCCACCCACATACCAGCTAGATTAAAGAGCTGGCCTGGGGCATCATCAATCTATCCCACACCTCCTCCCAGACCTTTCCCCCACTTCCCTCTTCTAATGGAGGAGCAATTTAACATACTCCCAAATTGCACTCCTGCAGCCAATGGTGAAAACCAGTTGCTGTTCTGTGTACCCCATTCATGGCAGCTGCATGTCAAAACAAAACTATCTTTCATACAGCTCAGTGGCTGATTTTTCAGCAGTAGATGCTGAGGTGTTTCTTTCAAGGTGTCTCCAGGTGGATTCAAACTTCCAGCCTTTTTCTAAGCAACCAAGCCCATTAACTATTTGCACTTTCCAGGGAAGCCCATGCCAATAGTAGGTTAATGCTTTTGAATCCCTTGATTTTTTTCTAAAGAGACTATATCTCCTGAGACCAGGAAATCACTGAATTCCTTACTGACTTCGGAACCTTGATTAGGTAAAAAGGGAAAAGCAATGCCTGTGCGCCAGATTATGTGGGCTTTGCTGTCTGCAGCTCTGCAGCACCTATTATTTCTCATCAGGATGCTGCAGTTAAGTTTCAGGGAAATATGTTTTCATTAATTTGCATATTCCCTTAGTGATAGGAGATATTTGCCCTTGGGGGAGATCTTATTTGTTTGCCATTTCTTGAAAGACATTTAGAAATCACTGGAGTCTGTTAGCTCCCTATTTCTCTGTTAATGGGTCATGAATTTTTACAGAGATGTTTGAATCATGGCTCATTTACCTCTAGATTGTACAAGGGTTAGTGAAGTAAGCACTCAGAAATCTACATGGGGATGTTTTCCACAGCAAAATACATAATCCCTTCCAGGCTTTCAGTGATGCTTTGGTTTTTCAAGTTAAGAGTATTCCTGAGAATGTTTTGCTGGCAGCTGGAATCACTAGCAAGCCACACTTCCCACCCTACCCCCTACTCTTCATGTGCTTCCCATGTGAATCATGAATTCTTAAGTCAAGAAAGCAGGTATCATGGCTCATTATCTTTGTTGACAATAAATAAGCTGGTTACAAGGGCCAAATTTTATCCAGGTGTCTCCAGAGTACATGCTAACACTGCGCCCACCACTGCTCTTGCAATGCTGATAGCTGACTTGTCAAGGCAGGGAAGGGGGATGAGCCTGGAGGGAAATACAGGAGAATCACAGGAATCTCACAAAAGTTACATGAGGACTTCAGAATTTAATTGATCATGTGGAAGTATATGACTTGAGACCCTCTGGCTGTTTAGTCCATAGGGAAGTGATAACCTAAAGACAGCCCCTCTCTGGAGATTCGAAACCACTAGCAACTTCACAGGAGAAAGAAAGGCAAAGCCCCTCTTGTACAGTTAGTTTACAGTCCCCAGAAACCCTTAGTCCCCTATGAATTGGCCCCAACTTGATGACAGTGAGTTAATGTTATTTCCACTTCACCTGTATCATCAATGGTTGAAATTCAAACAAACCAGAAGATTTCTGATCTGCTGAGATTTGATTTACCAAAATAAGTTATTCTTGTCTTTCTAAGTTTAATTGTTTTTAAGCAGGAATGTGGCAAATCTATGGCAGAATACTTTTTTTTCTTAATAAAAAGCAAACACAGATTTATTAAGAAAGATCCATTGTAAAGAAAGAGCGTAATAGAGGAGTATGACAGAATACTTCCGTGTGCTGTTTAGAAGTAGGATGTTTTGTGATTAGAAGCCTGCATATGTTCCGTCCTTGTCATTGTGTGACTGTTGTCTTTAATAGCAATGGACCCCTTCTCAGTACACTGACTGCTATATGTCCCTCTTAGGAGTCGTACAATCACTCTCTGTCAGTAACGGATCCCAGTGTCATTGCGGAAGCTCTGGACAGAACCATCGCAGAATTTGATACTGTAGAGGCCCTGCTCAAGCACCTCAACCCCACATCATGGCAAAAAGACCTGGAGAATATGAATTTGGACAGGCATTATTATCGAGGTCGGTCATTCTCTCTAAAGAGCTCAAAAGGTAAGGAACAGAGCCTCGGAGGTCCTTTATAAGTAACTGTGCTTGTGAGGTGTCATCAGATCAGTTCCAAATAAGAGCAGCTCCATGAAAGAGAATGTGATGTCCCCATAAAATTTTCTAGAATATAATCTCCATGAGAATTAGTCACCAGGTTTTTCTTACAGAGCACTGCTGGATGAGTTCACACTGCCAGTCTTAGTTTGCAATAATTTTAATAAGTAAATAATAGCATTGTAATTATATTTGTCTTTTGTGTATTGTCTTTTCACCTGTCTTCTGCCCTTCCTAAGTGTCCCGCGACCGAATTACACACAGCCTTGGGGGTCCTCTGCTTTTTACCTGTATGGGCTGGGGGGGTTTGGCTCTGCTTAGATGTCTTGTCTTTTTGCCTGCCTTCTGCCCTTTCTAAGGGCAATGTGCAAGGAACTGGAGTCAGAAAACCAAAAGGGTCGAACTCGCTCAGCATTTCTTAAGCTCGAGGAACTGAAGAACAAATTCAAACCTCTAGTTGCTATAATCAAGGATGCTTTAGGCAGAGTATTAAATGATCCAGGAGGTATCAAAAGAAGATGG